CCAGCCTTGGACATCTCCAGGGTGGAACAGACTAAGGCCATTTTGATGGACCTGGACCCTGCTTTGCCACCTTCACATGCCGATCTCCTCGCGGAATGCTGGGAACTGCGAACCATGGACACGGATGATCCCATACCGTTCGATCCCAGCTTCTACCACCTCTTGGGACGGGAATCACACGGCATGGTGTTCGCAACCACTTGGTTTCCCCGACCTCATCCTTGGCCAGTTGCTGGCGGAGACCCGGAAGCTGGATCCGGCACGGCCTCCCATCACGCTGTCATGTATGTGCACGGCACCACCCCGGATCGAGTGCGCCGCATGTGCCATGAGAACATGATCCGACCCGCTGCTTGGAGGCCCGAGAACCATGACTACCCGAGCTTTGGATGCTACGCTCAGGCCACCCCCACGGCATGCACGCCCGACACGCTCGGCCAGCTCTTGCAGAACTTTACAATCGGAAAGTCTCAACTCGGCGCCATCGCTTTTGGGGAACTACGCTCCATCAATCAGCACAAAATCCTCGAATCCGGGGGAAGCCACGAGGATCAACACAACGTGCGGCGCCACTTCGCATGCCGCCGAGGCAAAAAGTGGTGCCTTCACTCCAAGTTTGCGATGCTGAGAGGCATCGCGCTGCAGCGCCCGGCTTAGCGGGGCGCAAGTGTACCATCTTCCACCCGACCAGGAAAAGAATTGGTGCACTGTTTGATCGCCTTTTTTCTTTGCTTTGCTGTTCTGCCTTTCCGCGACCGTTCTCTCGCCTTGTGACCTTACCCGCTTGATTCCGCTCACCAGCTTTTGGTTCGAACATTTCCTTTTCCCCCGTGTTTTCTCATGGCTTTCCAACCCCCTCGAGGTTTGGTTACGGCGCTCCAAAGGCAAAACTTACCACCGCAGCCTTCGCCCACGGCATCCCATCATCATGGCATCGTGTACGGCAACAACATGGCCGGGAACCCGTGCGGGGCCCTGTCCGGGCCTTCCTACGGATGCTCTTCCACGGCATCGGCACCGCCAGCTACACATCCGACTCCCTGTCAGACCTACGGCCAACCTATTCCCCGTTACCCACCACACCCCGGCCCTCGTCCACCCTCCTTTGGCGGCTCTCTCCCCCCCCCTCCCGGCGGCAACCCCTTTCCCCCCCCTCCCCCCGGCCCCTTCTCCTGCCCTCCCCCTTCCCCCTCCCCCTCCACCGCCTCGCAATCCAAACCTCCCCGGGCCCTTCGACCCATCCACTCAGTCCCAACACCAACCGAGTTCAACCCTGGCGACGATCACTACGACACCACCCGCGTCGCGGGGTACGACCTGCCCAAGGTCATCACGCACACCGCGTTTACTCGGCAAATGGGCATCGAGGGACAAGACATCGCTCGCGTCCCCCTCCTCCACTTCATGCACGAACAGTGGAACAGTTGGTGGTTGCGTCACCTCGCCCACGGAGGCGAAGTCCGCATCGTTGTCGCAAAGTCGATGCCGGAATCAGTGTTTGCTGCTGGACTACTCAGCCAAATCCGACAACGGCACCTCGACCTGGACGCCCTCGCCCTCCATGTAGCCACGCAGGAGGGCGCCTCGACCACCAAACCAGCAGCCATGAAGCTACTCACCAGCAAGATCTTCGACTTCCTCATCTCCCTCCGACCCACCACTACGGCCGACCCGGCCTCCGCGGCCACCATACTCCAGCTTCAGCAACAGCTTGCTGACGCACACAACCAACTCGCCCAGCAGGCTTCATCCCCCCCTCTCCCCCCCACACCCACCTCATCCAACAAACGCCCAGCCAATCCATCTCAGGCCTCCCTCCTGGACTTCGGCATGAAGCGACCACGGTTGACTACACCTGACACATCACCGCAGGACGGATCCCCCGCTCTACCCCTGCCCACTCGCATTGCAGACGACTCCCAACCTGCCCCGGCTCCCCCCACCCACGGCGGCAACCCTCCAGCCCCCTCCACCCACGGCGGCACCCCGACCCCTCCCCCACTCCCCTCCCCACCCACTGGGAAGGAGCCCCGCGACTTGCTCCAACCACCTCCCCACGCTTGCCAATGGCTCACCAGCAACTTCCCACCCGACATTTCCGACACCAAAGTCCAGCGATGGATCACCTCCCAGAAAACCAGCAAAGAGAGCAAGCAAGTCCTAAAAAGCTGGTCCAACGACTGCGCAAAATGGGCAACCACACTGGACTCCGACACCAGAGCCCAACTCGAACGAGCCGCTGTGCTATGGGGCATCCCGGTGCGAACCCTATCAAAACTGGGGTCATCGGCCTTGGGCCGCATCCTGGCCGCTGCGAGTCACTTCTACCAGTGACTCTCAACAGCACACCGACAACGACGCACAGCCAGGCAGCACAAATTTTGGCAACACCACTGCTGCCAACTTCTCACTGTCCTCCGTTTCACTCTTCGGTTCTTCCCAACCGATGACGTCACCGCACGTCATTCTTGCTCCTGGCTACTCGCACAGCTTCAGCTACTTGACGTCTGCCATCTCTCCTGTGGTTCCGGCAGACTGAAAGCCCTGCTTACTCGACTTGGCCTGGACAACCCTGCTTCCGATTTCTCTTCTCAGCTTGTCCCTTCAGCGGTTTATCTGAGATTCACCAGCCATCCAAAGTGGCAGGCCTTTTTCTACCTCGGAGCCACTCGCGCCTCCCTCATGGCACGGGGCCGCAGCCAACTTCGCAAACTACTCCAAGTTCAGCGACATCATCTGGTCAATGCCGAACTGGCAGTCCGGTGGTGGGCACATTTTGACTTTTTCCACCACTACACCTCGGTGCCCATTCACACTGTCGTTCCGGCAACGGACCTATTTGCCACTGAACAGTTCTACATCCAGGAACTGCAACCGTCTCTCAATTTTGGCTTCATCGAGAAACATTTCCGGCCACGCACGGGCTTCATACGCCAATTGGACTTCTCCCAATCCCGGCACATGGGCTTCGCCACCATCTGGCGAAAACGCCGCCGACTACGACTACCCATCGCCCTACAACAGGCCTTCCTGGCCAAACGCGTGGACAACCGCCTGGATTTGTGGCGATTTTTGGGCGATCTTGGCAGCAACACTCTACGACGATTTGATGCGATCCAGTTTACGATTCCGGGGCCTCATTCCACCTGGCCCCTCCAGACCGATGCTTGCACCCTTCCTCGCCTGGCGACTACTGCTAACCTGGTACCGACAACGACAACCACACTCCTCTACCACACACCTCACAGTGGACACACTTGACACCTCTGCCATCACCCGCGTCTACAACGGACGCCGTCGCCGACACAAACCCACACAACGCACCCTGTGGCTCGACGACATCCCCGAGATCATTCAGGCCACCCTTGACATGCAGATCTTCTCTGTCGGCCTTCGTTCATTCAGGCAAACACGTGGGGCACCGATGGGATCCCCCGCGTCCCCAGCTCTCTGTTTGATGGTGATCGCGGTCGCCGAACAATGTTGGACCAACACTCACATCACATCGGGACTTCGCTCCGTTGAAGATACTCTCCTACTCCGCTACGTGGACAACAGACTCGTGATCGCAACCCCCAGGTGGCTCTCGACTCCGGCAGCCAACATACTGTGCGACGAACACTTCTATGGAGGAGACATCTTCCTGGACACAGAAGCCGCCCTGGACTTCTTGGGGTTCCGACTGAACCTCACAAGCAGCACCATCTCCTTCATCCCCTCGCATGAGAAGCACAACATGCTCTCCGTCAAGTCAGCCGCACCACTGATGCATAAGGAATCTGGATGTTATTCCGGACGCACGCTGATCAACCGAGTTTCCTTTCCTGAGTTTCAGCGAGGTCAGGGTCTTGCAATGTTGAAGAGGTTGCACCTCCAACACGGTTTCACCTTACAAAGAGAAGAAAAACCGTCCTTTGCGGAACCACACTGGTTTTCTTCTCTGCCTTTGCATCCTGACAGATTTGACCTGATTTTCGCGCCGCAGCTGTTTGACTGTTTGACCAAAATCCGTTACGAGCATGGATACCAACACAGCACGCCAGCTGCTCCAAGACTTCGAACTCATCCTTGGCATTGCCCAACAAGGCATCGCCACCATCCGCGAGTTCCCTGAGAGTCCGCCTGCCGAACCTGATTTGGCACCGGAGGCCACGCTCAACCCCGCCATTGAGGACCTGACCAACTCACCACCAACACCCCTCCTGGCCCCCCTCGAGGACCTCTTTGAGCCATCTCCTGATGCTCCAGATGAACACCTTCCCACTGATCATGACGAACAATTCCCTGATCATTGGGCTCCGCCCACCCCTCCTCCGTCTTCTCCCGGCGAAAAACGAGCTCGCCGCGCACGTGATTTGGCCTCCTCACGATCTACGGCATCCAAAACCTGCTCGTGGACCAAGCGAAGCTACCACATCGACCAGGACTGATGCCTCTACTGAGGCCGAACCTGAAGCCTCGCAGCCTTGGACTGAGGGAGAGATTGAACTCCTCCGTTCCCTTAAGACCAATTCCAAAGCCAAGTATGTGTGGTCAGTCATCGCCACAAGACTTTCTCGCACAATTGATGCTTGCAAGACTCAATGGGCCTTGCACAAGTGATGTCGCCCCAGTTGGGGCTCCGTGTGTGTGAAGCGTCCTGGAGCACGGACGGAAATTCCACATTGCAGGGGGACCAGGCGTCTTGCTGCTGACCTGGTCTAACAAAGCTAGGCAGCAAGACGGGATACCGGAATTGGCCATTCCGGCGTACCTGCCATCCTTTCGTGACCTAATGTGTTTCCTCGGTTTACCACTGTTTGCTTCATGTTCGTTTTCGATGATGTGACATTTGCACTGCAGATTGATTTTTTCATGCCTTTTCAGTACAATCGCGTGTCTGCAAGAGCAGCCTCTCGAGATAAGTGTGTGTGTGTGTGTGTGTGTGTGTGTGTGTGTGTGTGTGTGTGTGTGTGCGTGTTCGTATGCGTTTGCACGTGCGAATGCGCGTGGTGCGTTGACGTGCGCGTGTGCGTGTGCGTGTTTGTGTGTGTGTGCCACGAACGATGCCCACAAAGAGCATGTTTACAGCAGGCGCTGAAAGGGTGCAAATGGAAGTTTGGTGCCAGACCAATTCAGCGAGAAGCTTGGCGTTGTTATCATTTTTCTTCAGAGAATAGCGCGCAAATAGAAAACGACAAGAGAAAACACATGAATGCTAAGCCTTAATTAAGGTCTTTGTGGGCCGACCTCATACCAGCCTTCCGCCTTTTTGTCTGGCCACCTGTGCCAAGTCGTGCGAGCGACGTGCACCCAAGGGGTGATGACACCATCGCGGAACCCGCGTCTGGCTGGCTGCCTCCGAGCGCCCAGGCATGACTTCAGGTGGCGGCCTCTTGATCTGTGCATGTGTCAAAATAGGGGGCCCCCCTGACCCGGCACAAAAAAACTTGGTGTTTGTTCTTTTCATGTCCCTTGAAGCTAAGCCGCAAGCTGAACAAATTAATTACGCGCCCATCAAACAACATGCACACACACACACACCCATTTGATCACAGCGCGGCCCGGGCTTCGAGTCTTCCAACAGTTTCCAAATGATTCCCAAGTTGTTGCCAGATGGTTGAAGTTGGTACAAGGCCGCAAGCGGTCCATTGGGAGGAGCGAAGCCAAGGCAACAAGCTTGTGTTCGAGGTCGCGCATGACGATGTGTCTGCCAACCTGGTCTCGCCAGCCCCTCGCTTTGGCAAAGCTAGCGAGGTCTTGCTTGCTCGCAGCATGCTTCTAGCAAATTTATGCTGATTGTGGCCGGGGGAGCTTTCCGGGATTCATGCAAAGCGGCTCACCAAGGCTTGGTGTGACGACTGCGGGTCTTTGTTGCTGGGCTTGATGCAGGAGGCTGTCCAGCAGCTTGGCGGGCTGTCTTTGGGGCCTGGCCGTCTTGGGCTCGGAAGCAGGGCCCAGGGTTGGACCCACGAAGGACTCTGCCGATTCCAGCGCCGGCGAGCGGCTTCCAAAGAACTGCGAGAACTAAACAAGTGGGTAGCCCCGCCGTCAAGGAATTCCATCATTCAGCTGGCAACAGGTGCAGTCGTGCCTTCAGTCTTGCCATCATACAGCCCTTTGGCGGGGCATACAGGCGTGTTGCTTATTCAGGATTGACCCCCCACGCCCCCTGGGTTCCATAGCGCCTTGTGGAATTCGCGCTCGCATTCAAGCTGGAAGTTTCAGTTGTGGTGTGGCCCCCCAATCCCGTGATCCGGAAAGACTGCAGCGGCCTTGGTAAGCATCCTGAACACCGCCTGCAAGACCACTAGACGCATGAGTCATGCGGAGTGTCCTTTTCAAGGGGATGCTAGTGACTCCAGGTGAACATCACTGCCATAGTTTCAGGGCTCAACCGTCATTCACGTGCCCGTGGGTTGATAGGTGATACATCCCTTATGCATGTCTGACTGATGCAGGCACCAGAAGCCGATTCTGAAGTGTATGGTATGTGACAGTGTTAAAGCAGGGGGACCCCAGAAATTGTGTTTCGCCTTTTGGTTCCTCTTCAAACCAGGGTGAAAAGGGTCAAGAAAGACAGTCATATGGCTGTGGGTCAAAACCAATGGTACCATTTCGGGGTAGGTGCACCTTTTAGTGGGGATTGGGATGTTCACTGGGGGTACGGGATTTGGACCCATGGCCATACCCGGAATATCTCCAACCCGGAATATCTTAGCTCCCCGCAACCTTCCGGGACGGGAGCTGAGGTGCAGCGTGTGCAAGCGCCTGGCCTGCGAGAACTGCCCCCGGATGCAGCCCTGCCTGCCGCGTGGCTTGCTGCGCTACGTGCATGCAGGCGCGAGGGCCCGAGGGCCCGAGGGCGCGAGGGCGCGAGGGCGCGGGAGTGAGGTGGAGGCAGTCACTTCGCTTCCTTCGTTGGTTACCAGACAACTTGTCATCTGCGTATTTTACAGCGAGCTCACCTGGGGGCAGAACGATCTCACCAAGATAAAAGGTTCTTTACTTGGAGATCCAATTCTTAATTCAGCTTTTGGACTTTAGTCAAATGTTCGGATCTCATCTAGTCGTCTTTGAGCTGGACGCCTGCGTTAAAGAATCCCTGGGGGACGGTCCATATGATACTCCCGAAAAAGGTTGAGGCGAGGGAGAGCTTTGGTCTGGCTTGTGGCCAGGTCGCGCATGCATTCTGAGGTCGGTCCATGTTGAACACTGGCTGAAGCCGACCCCCTAAACCATGCGTACGTCCATGTATGGCCCCTGATAGCATGTACTTTTTTTTTTTTTGTCAGGATACTCCCCTTCTTAAAGTTGCATTTCCGGGCATACCAACAATACGGACGCATGCATTCGGCCGTTCACAAACCGCTGCTGCCTAAAGCATGTGCGAAATCCAGGGGAGGAGAACCTGCCCCCCGTGCTGCGGGTGCTTTGCGCAGATGCTGAGCTGATCCTTCTGCTGGCGCATGATCACCCCACCGTGCTAAGATATGCTGCAGAGGCCCGGGCAAAGGATTGATGCCGTTGGGGCTGTCTTGGGCCCGGGCCGAGGTGTTTTTCTCTGCCGGTCCATTGGCACCCCAATCCCGGGAGAGCTTGAAAACTCACACCTGTTTGATAGCCCTGGGCACCAAGCCAACCCACCAACCCGCAACAAGCCAGCCACTGCAATTTCAACCCTCTAAAGCCAATACAGCTCAGTCTTAAGAATCAAAGGGTACAATTTAGGCCAAGCGGCCTCAAACCAGCTCCAAGATAGCTCCAAAGCCCGAAGCTAGCCAAAGCTGTTGAAGTCAGGCATATTGTGTGAGCCTGTGCCAGGGACTGAGCTGACTCTTATCCCTCAAAACAACCTCCAGAATACGACCTAGGGCCCGACGACTGGAGATTGCGAATGCCTTGCCCGAAGCCCATCATGCGAGATCCGCAAGGTCGTGGACATTTTTTTTGGCACCCTCAAGGAAATCCCTTGCTGAGGGGGCCTTGTGAGAAGCATGTGTAGGTTGACAAGCGAACATCGAGTTGCCAGGAGTTGTGGAGAAGATCCGACTTCCTCCAGGGACTGTTGCAGCTCGCGGACGGCACCGAGTCCCCGCAACTGCGACGCCCTGCAAATTTGGAGTCAGCTGTTTCATGCATGAATGCCCCTGGCAGAAGATGGCGGCCCAAAAAAATGAAGCCCCCCTCCCCCCAACATCGGACCGTAAATTCGTTGGCGTCACGCGGTCTGAGTCATTGGGGGACAGGTTGCTATGTTGTTTGTTTTAGATGTGTTCGAGGATCTGAAGTCGAAAAGCAAGTGCTTCGGAGAGCCTCGGCCAAGCCTCTTGCTGCACAAGCCGTCATGGCAACTTGGCAATTGATGGTGCCCATCTTGCAGTTCCCGTCGTCGCAACAAACCCTATTGGTAGGATAAACATGTTCAGTCGGGTTTCATGAACACTCCGTGTCCGCCGCAGCACCCCAGGCTGCGGTGCTCAAAGCAGAGACGGCGTGGTGCTCAAGAGAAATGACATTTGCACCATGCCCTGCTGTGGTGCCGTGTCCTGACAGGATCCCGGCCTGGCTTTTGCGCTGGCACTGCTGCCTCCCGTGGCCGACCCGAACAGCAGGGCCTTTGCAACGGCAAAGGCTGATCCACACGGAGGTCTTATTGGCCTCATACCTAACGCTCTAGGGCCTTCACCCAGGTTTGCTACCGCGCCTGCTTGAGGATTCATAATTTTGTAATGTTTTTTTGAACTTGTGGGGACAAATGCTTGTACTGATGACGGCCCCTGCTAGGATTGCCTTTGTCTTGTGGAAGCTGCAACGTGGGTGGTTCCCAAGATCACCCCACACTTGCAATTTCTGGAGGCACAGCTGCAGCACAACAGCCCGCAAGTGCGAGTGGCAGCAGTAGAAGCAGTGTCACGCTTGGCTGCGACCTGAGCGCGTGCGAGTGTGCGCAAGCACTTGCTTTGCACAATGCCTTCCGCAGCTCCCGGGCACGGGGGATGCTGGGTGCCGGATGAGCTTGTTCAAATGTTCTCCCCCCCCCCAATGCATAAGGTGCAGTTTTGGTACATTCCAAGGTGGTTGCCATGTTGTTTCTGGCTGAGCCGTGCAGGTCATGGAGCGCTTTCCCTCATTGCCCATTTCCATGAGGGTTCCGTGAAAATCAGAAGTGGTCAGCCATTTACATAAGAAGCCCGTGGCTGCTGGCTGCGTAGTTGCTCCCGAGGTCCGCACTGGGCCGCGTAGTGGGAGCAAGTCGGTGCTTTGTGAGGAGGAGAAGGAGGGAAGCAGCCTGCCATGCTGTTGGCCGGAACATGTTCATGGCCATGCCCAAATTTCTTTGAAATGAGAGGTTGGCTTTTACTTTGCGCCCCCTGCACCGAAGTGTCATGGTGCGCTTGCTTCAGGATCAGGTAATGCAAGCCGCTTTGACGCCGCGCTTGCAGGACTATTTAGGGTGGGCACACGAACGCACCTCCTTGCTGTGCTCGAGGGTGTGGGATGCTCTTCAGACAATTGGTTGCTCATGTTTGGTGACATTTCATTGGCACAAGTATGCGGAATCTCAGCATGTAGCCAGTAGTAGGTCCGAGCGGCAATGATTTGCCATGAGCGTGGGCAGAGCCCAAGAGGAGGAACTTGTTCGAGGAAGTGAGGCCCCTGCAATCTCAGCAGGTGCGCAAGGCGCCCTGCAAGTGCGCAGGCAGAGGAGGACAGACCCTACAGAGATCTTGGAGGCGCTCGCCTTGAGGGGGACTTGTGTGAAGGACGGCGGCGCGGCGCATGCCATGTTGCTGGTGCCCATGAGGCCGGAGCAGCAGCGGTTGCTGCCAGTCCGAGAGGCGGCTAAGTTCTTCGCCTTGGCGCGCCTGGTGCGCCGCGCCACCTTCTGCGGGCTGTCGCCGCAGCCCTGGCGCGGCCACGGCCTGGAGCAGGAGATGCTGAAGTTGCATGCAGATCGGCAGCTGGCCCTGGCGCTGTCCCAGCGGCAACTGGCTGACGAGGCAGGCCAGGCCCAAAGAGCCCAATGCCGTGCCTTGGAGCTGCCCACATCGCTGGGGGTTTCTTCTGCAGCGGCGTTCTCTGCGGCCCCTGCGGCCTCTGCGCCTTCTGCCGAGGTAGACAGTCCAGACCAGCTGCAAATGGTGCACTGGGCTGCGCCAGCAGGTCGTCCTGGCGCCCTCTCTGAAGATGTGCTTTGCCTGCTGCACCTGTGAGTGGGGACAGTCGGCAACTTGTTGGCCAAGAAGCAACATGATTGAAGGGAGATGTCCTGGAGCCTGTACAGCAAGGGGAACAGCAAGGGGAGGGTTGCAGAGCTGACCCGATTGTTGCGACATCGTCTTCCGCGTGGAAAAAGGGCACCGTTGGAGCTGGGTGTTAAGCGGCTTGAATTGCTTATGCTTTGTTTCTGCTTTGCTTTTCCTCTTCGTGCGTGTCAGCGAGGATGCAGACCCAGCTGTGCGCAAGGCGGCGCTGAGGTGCTTGCAGGGGTTGGAATCCCAGGCAGGCTCCCGCTGCCGGGCAGCCATGGGCAAGGCTTTGCTGGCCATCCGGCCGCATCGCTTGACTCCGGGAGAATCCGTTGTGGTTCGGGGTTGGTGCTTGAGTCCTTGAGCCCGAGGACAAAGATCGGGAAGTACGGGATGCAGCCTGGGTAATGTTGCCAACGCTGGATGTGGAATCCTGTGCTTCAATCCTGGTGAGCCTGTCCAGTTCCCGGCTGGACTGGATCATGCCATGGCCATTTGATTTGCTTTGTTGCTTACAGGTCGTTTGCTGCATGTTGGAAGTGGGAGAAGTAGACAATTCTTTGCTGACATGCAACAAATGGTGCAATGCTGCTGGGATGGGAGGACAATACTCGTTGGCTTTGCGACAGGATGACTTCACACAGAAGCGCTTGCTCAAGACACTCCGCTCGCTGCTGGTGCCAGTCCCGCGCCACATCAAGGACTGGAGTGAGCTTTCGCCCGGCCTTTGTCCATTTCTCGGCCAAGTTGCTTCGAGATTCTCCTACGTGCAGATATCACCCGGTTTCCTACTCGAGTCCCTTTCAACCCGAGGCGGTATCCTGTGCACTGTCCGGGGCCAGCTGGTGGCTGCGCTTGGCCGTGTCCGACATGTTCTACGCCTACCTGGGCGTGGACGATCCCGAGGTGTCAAGCCCGTTTGCAGGTGTTGATTTTGTTTTGGGCGTTGCGTGAGCCTCTCCGTCGCCCCAAAAAATGATTCGCCTCCCCCCCCCCGCCCCGCCCCAGCAAGACATTCCAAAGGGTCTGGCAGAATTTGATGAAGGGCAGGCGCCAGTCAGCACAGATGCCCTAGAACCAATAGGCTTCCCACACGTACCAGGAATTTTCTTCCAAAGCCATCAATGTTCGTCAAAGTTTGCGGAGAGCCCTGGCCCCGGCCTAGGTGCGGCAGAGTGCAATCGCTGCCGTGAACTCTTTGGCAGAGAAGACGGACAATAAGGCGGGCTGCCCAATGGGGTCAGCTCACATCTCTTCCATGAGGTGCAAGTGGAAAGGCAAACACAACATATATGTTTTTGGATCCTCGTCTCGGTCTTGTTTGGTTCCAATCGCGCAATGCGCACATGTATTGTTTTATGTTATATTTGTTTCTGGGCGAGGGAGAGCAGCTGTAACAAGTTATGTTACAATCTGGTCGGAACCAAATACTATTTTTGACGATGTTTATCCGTGATAAGATTGGCGATTGGCATGTCCACGAAATCAATTCGCACGTACTACCAATCTGGTACTCATGAGGAATTTCAAGGAATTGACTCCGGAATTTTGTTGTCCGTCCAAAATGTTGTTGATCATCAACGGGTCTGATTTGGGACAGCCCCCGTGATCTTTGACCACGTCCCAATATTCCCACCGCCCGTGCCACGCCCGATCACTCTCAAACCAGCGCAGGGCAAGTTCTGCCCGCTCGTGGCCTGGCCGTAAACAGCCGCTTCAGAGACGTAGCTCACCTCTTTCAGAACTTCCTCCAGGTCCCAGATTCATGCCAAGAGGGCAGTTTGAACATGAAACGAGGATCCACATCGAGTGTAACTGAAATTACTTGCAGACAGTGTGAGGTGAGATGATCAGAATTGAAGTTAGTTGTTGCCAGCTTGTGGCCCCCATTCCCTTCGCGCCAGGCCGCCGGGGCTTTGGCCGCGCTGCTGGAGGATGGGGACGCATCGGTGGCCTCGGCCACGTGGACAGCGGTGCGGCCGCGGCTGACGGACTCGAACCCCGACGTGCAGCGCGTGTGGCTGGAGGACATCCGCTGCAAGAGCCTCAACCCGGCCGTGCGAAGTGAGGCGGGGCAAGTGAGCAGAGAGGGGAGAGGGGCCGGAGAGGGGTGGGTGGGGTGTTCAGTCTTGGGTTACAAGTCATCCCAGGTTCAAAGCCTGAGAAGCAAGCGACCACATGGTCCTAGTAGAATGGGTGCGGCTGCGGTGAAAACAACACCCTTATTGGGTCTGATGATCAAGAATGCGCTCAGCGGGCTTCCTGCCCATGGCTTGCAAATCGATTGATCCTGGCCTTGCTTGCATGCAACCCGTGCATCCGCACAAGCGGTGGCGCACCTGCACAAGCGGTCGCGTCATGCCGACGAGAGACGGGAAACGAAAGCAATCAATCTCCCCAAGCACACAGCCACTCACTTGCTGGGTCCAACTTTCCAACAAAGTCAAGTTCTCAAAAGTTCCCTCTAGATGGAGGTTGAAAGGGCAACCACCCCGCTACAGTACGAAGCACAACCAAACAACATAATGACAAGGTTAACAATGACATAATTAAGAACACCGATAACTATTATGAATATATAAATCAAACTAATGGTTTGTTGTGGCGCACTTGGACCAAACCACAACAGAAACACACCGGTGCGTAGCTTTAACAAGACAGAGATTCATTCTTTAGAAATACAGTATCAGTATGACTACCTTGCGAAAACAGAAGTTGAACATGTACAAGTTCTGTTTGGCTCGAGCATTGTGGCCCGCTTGCAAGGCACTTGCACGAAAAAGGCCTGGCACTTCAGGCAATAGAACTCGACGATATCGTTTTGGCAGTGATCGCTGGCGCTCGCATGCAAAAATCGTTCGGCTTTCTGAATATTCGACTAGCCGGACGCGCCCCCAGTGCGCCCCGAAACGAGCATCTCCGAGCTTCAGGCAACAAGGACTCCACGCAATCTGGATGGCCGGCAGCCGCGCCGCCCAGAAAGAGGCCGCAGCGCTGATGTGAGCCGGGTGGCACGCTTCCGGGAAGCCATCACCGTGGGTGGCAATGCTGCTGCGCAGCAGCAGGGCGGATTGCAGGACCTGCATCAAGCTCGGGCCCGCACCCAAAAACAAGAACTTCACAACAGTGCCAATCTGTTGGGCTCCAGACGCGGGCCTTTGCAGGTGGCCCATCGTGTGTCGGGTTGTGCATGCTCTGTCGGGTCACGGACGTATGCCTTGGCCCTGCTTAGCCTGACGCGGGTGAACTTCCACCGCGCAGAGTTCGGAGCGTACTCAACCGCGCCCAGTGGTCAGCAGGCGCACCAACTGAACGCGCGCTTGAAACGTGCTGCGCGCCTTGACGGAAGTGCCGCGCCCTTGGAAGGAGGGGTGCTTGCAGGCGTCTAGAGCGGCGCCAGGGCAGAAGGGGGGGCCTTTGTGTATGTGGGTTGCTGCACGCTAGATTGTGGCTGGTGCGGCGGCAGCCGATTCTTTGCAGCTCGGCCTTGGCAGACCTGGAGCCGCGCGCCCGTCGGATGCACCTTTTGACCGGCGGGCCTGGCACGGGCAAGACGCACGTGGTCCGTTACATTGTGGCTGGGGCACTGGACCGCAACGCTCCAGTGCTGATGGCTTTTCCAACGGCCTGGCTCTTTTCCTACGCAAGAAGAAGCTGAGGAATTTTCATCTTATTCTCTATCTGCATCATCGGCAAAGTGGGCGTGGTGCCGAAAGCTGTGTGGGAGCAAATCACCCAGTGCTTGCACTGTGGCGGAAGGAGATTTCCAGCAGTTGCCCCCGCCCGTGCCGGACGCCGACGCGACGCACGCGGCAGCCGTCTTGTTCCATGGGATACTGCTTTTGAGCTTCAGGAACAGAGCTGGAATTTTTTGGACCTCTGCAAGCACTGTGTCTCTGGCTTTGCCAGCCGGGACAGGGGATGGACCGGCTTTGACAGGGCGTGCGCAGCTTGCTTCCGAGATGGCGTGACAATTGCTGCGCTGTCCATGACCTTCCTGCGCGACTGGCTCGGGCCCGGGTGGCCGGTTGGTCCGCAACACGCAGCGCCTCGGCTGCGAGCGACGCCGCTGGAAAGGCCGCGCCTGCAGCAACCGGGGCCGTCTCCGCTGTGGGGCTGCGCGCAGCAGCCAGGCTGCTGCAGGTTTGGGGCAGTTTCACTGTGTCCCCAGCCAGGTTGCAGGTTCGAGCGGGAGAAAACTTTGATGCTGCTGCACGCCCGTACCGGCCCCATTGTGTTGCTAGCTGCGCGTTGTTCTTTTGTTTTGATTGGTCGTTTTGCCTCCGCCGACTTGGGGTTTGTTTGCCCCTGAGATGTTGGGAGGGACGTGGGGGCTTTGGCCACGGCGTGCCGTCGGTCATTTCTCTGTTTCTCTCTCTGTCTCGCTGTCTCGCTGTCTCTCTGTCTCTCTGTCTCTCTGACTCTCTGTCTCTTTGTCTCTCTGTCTCTCTCCCTCTCTGTCTCTCTCCCTCTCTATGAATGAAACAAAACACAACACGGTAGTAATTCTGCAATTTAGTAAACCTTTTGTTGCACCAGCAAGTGCGTCCAACGTGTTTGGCGGTTTTGCTTAACGTGAAAAGTGCTACTAACATGGCCAAACAACAAATGTTAGCGTATTCCATTGAGAGGATTGGTACAACAACCCGTTCTGCTGCTCTCCAAACCTCGGATCTTTTTAACAATGTATTTAGCTGCGTCCCACAAGGCAGATATGTGTTCCTATCCGCCGTTTCTCCGACCACAAGCACCGGAGGTGCTGCCGGTCTCCTCAGAACAAACCGGGGAACCCAGGCAAAGGAAGAGAGAAATTGTCAGCTGTCAAAAAATTTGTCGGAAACGTTCCGAGGTGATTGTGGCCATCCTTCCGAAGCTCGCCTCCACCAAGTGGCTGGTCCAGGTCGCCGCCGCGCGCGCGCTGCAGGTCGAGCAGCCAGAGGCAGCCGAGGCGGGGGCTTGTTTCACCGGAGGGACATGTTTGACAAGGCGAAAACGTGTGAGAACGGGAATCCCAAAGTGCAGGGCCAAGTTGAAATTTGGAGGTCAGGCTTGACCAACCAAGTGGTTGATTCTGGCGAAGAGCCATACCTTTGCCGGCCCATTGCGTTGGCTCATCGCCACAGAAGTGGCAGTTGTTGCAGGCCACAAAGTTATCATCTCCCATTCCACTTGCAGGATTTGGGACTCTTTCAAGCAAGAAGGGGGGGCTTTGGTTTGCTGTTGGCTTCACTTCAAGATCACTTCACAAAACGGCACCCGCCCTAAAAAACAGACACACCCGAGTAGTAAGCCCAAAATGTGCTTCAGCTTTTGAGCTCACAGGTAAAAACTAACATTCAAATATATTGGATATGTTTTTTATTTTTAATAGGCAAGTAACCTTAAGTTTTGTTATTACAAATTTGCTTATGAACAAATGAATCAACTCAAATTGTATATAGATCGCAAACACACAAGGCATATTTGGGTATGCAAGGATGGCATGTGCATTGGCTGGGTGTCCTTTCAAACTGAAAGGACCCCCCACAAAAACCGACGCGGCCTCATGACTTCAGGTGAGGCAAGTGGTGTCTGCCTTCAAGAAGGACGAGGACTCCGATGTACAGAGGGTTGCTGCGGAGGTTCTCGCCGCCTTGCCGACGGGAACTGAATGCAGCTTGTGAGAACGCTGATGGTCCAAAGGTGACCGCATTGCTGGCGCAGTTCCGCCTTGCTGATAGGCAAGGTTTTGCAGGGGCACAAGACGTGCTCCAAACTTGGGCTGAGTGCTGTGCTTTGGAAAATCGTTTCGTTTCTGCTCCGTCCGGGGCGCAGTCTGTTTCATGGCTCTTTGGGCAGCTGGCAGGCGCTGGGTGCGCGCGGGCTGAGCCGTCCCCGGCAGGGAATTCCGCATCCAGGCGGCATCTTCCGTGCATGTACTTTACGCCTAGAGACGAATCCGCTTGCTGCGCATCAAGTGTGGCAAAAAGAGCTGCGGCTCCACGTGCCAGCCTTTGCGGGGAGGGTATCTTGCAGTGGAAAGTCCACGGAAGTTCCTCATGGCCGTTGCCGCCAGCTGAGCCCTGCGGCATTTCGGCTTTAGGCTCCTATTGGGCAAGAGGGTTTGGCGTTTTCATTGGTGGTCCTCACCTGCAAGGCACGGGCTGTGAACTTGGGGCTTGCAGGTTTTGGGGCCTTCCCGAGCCTTTCGTGCCTTCTGATTCTGAGCCACGGCCATGTTGTGCCAAGTCGTGCGCCCCCAAAAATGTTCAACAAGGGGGGGGGGCCCAAGTCAGACCAACACTTCTCAGGATAGCCAGGATGAAGCGGCAGCTCAATCGAGCTTCCACCATGCCGGCGGGGACCCTGGCTTCAGCTCGGGTAATTTGGGTCGTCATTAAAATTGGAGCTGCTGGTTGTGAGCCGCGGCTCGTCTCCTCTTCCCCAGGCGAACAAGATGGTGGTGCAGGGCGCGCAAAAGCGACCCCCAGCACGTGCGACCACACAGGCTTGCACCCTATGGGCTGCTGGGTCGGGATGGTAACTAAGATGCTAGCAGCCACAACAGGGCCTTGAAAGTGAAACAGGCATGGGAATGGTGTGCTTTGGGGCAGCAAAGCTGGTTTTCAAATTTACTGCGTCCATCCAACTGTGCATGTGTATGCCTATCACAACCTAAAGAAGCAGGGCAGTTTCAACAAGGGTCTCGCACTCCATGCTGGCGACATGTGGCGACCAGTCGCTGCGTTTCTTCCGAGATCCATGCTGCCGGATGTGTGGTTCCTTTCGTCGGTTGAGGCCAACTTGGAAGGAGGAGCAGAGGCAGGTGCGGAAATCCTCGGGCAAGGTCTCCCAAGCATTCGTTTTTTCGAGGGTACCTTTTTTGAGGGTACCTTTTTTGGTGGTTTAGGGCTTAGGAAGCCGACGGGAAAACCACCCATGTTTGGGGTACTCCTTCGTGGACACATCCATTTCCGGTGCGAGGCCACAGCATCCGTCGTGGTGGTGGCGCGCATTCGGCCCAAGCTGCCGAAGGAAGAGAGCGAACGTGACGGTGGCGACCTTAGCTTATGAGGCAGGGATTGCTCCACCTGCTCCCCCAGAAGCTTGTCTGGCATGGTTTCAAGCATGCGCAGAAGCTCGTTTGGCGTGGAAAATGCACGTGCTGAGGCGTGGAAACCTACCTCGATGGACAAACCGTGGGGATTTTCAACGGGCTAAAGCCTCAGAGTCGGGCGCTATGTGCAGTACGAGCATGGGACAGCACAGGCGCGACAAGAAGCAGTACACCTTGGACCAAGTCTTTGACTCGCGTTGGAAGGGAGCCCAGGCAGGGGTGTTAGCACGAATTGCTTGGCTTCCATTGGGTGTTGCCAAACAGACTGAACTGATTAGTCTTATGTTAAACTTTTCATCTTCCCTGGACCACCACCAAAAAGCGGTGTGGACCCTGGCGACACTTTGCACCGCTTTCAAGTGGGGTGCAATCAAGGCTTGTTTTCTATTTTTTGGACACGCCTTTAGACTCCTGAATGATTGGCCGCATCCTGCCTTGCCAGAACACGGCCCGCTCTGCCGGCTCCACTGACAGCGGAACCGACAAGCTCACCCAAGCAGAGCCTGCGGCCTCGTTGGGAGCGCTTTGGTGCTGGGCCCTGCTTTTCGGGTTCCTATATTCAGCCTATATTCTTCCTTTGAGTTTTCAAACGTCAGCGTTTGGGCAACTTTCGGTGAGCTTCCTTTGGGTGGGGCAACGGGAGGGGACTCTGGGACCCGGGCAGGCTCAAAGAATCGGCTTCGTGCTAACTTCCCCTGGGTCCTTGAGGCAGAAGAAGCAAGAAGCTGCGGAGTCGCAGGTCGGGAAGCCAGAATTCAGGCGCCACGTGGCCTTTGCGCACACGCTGGAACTTCAGGCAAAGTTCTTCGCCGAGTTCGGTCGCAATCTGGTGGTTAGTTCATTGCTGGGCTCCGAGTGGGCTTGCCGCTCTCACGGACAGCCCCGGATGGTGGCCCATGCCCAGGAAAGGCTACAACGTGTGCGTGTTTGCGTATGGCCACACGGGCTCTGGCAAGTCGGTGCCCAAGAGTACGAGTGCGGAGTGTGGAGTTGGTTGGTTTTGTTGGCTGGCGGCATGGATTCTTTGATGGCAAACGTTTGTCGGGGCTGTCCGTAGGATCTCCCGAAGCAGAAATGATGGGACATGTTTCTTATGTGCCAACTGTGTGAGATGTGGCTTCCTTCCCATTTCTAGCGGGGCCACCCTTGGGGACCTGGCTTTGGGAACCGTTGGTCCAAGGACGTACACCATGCTGGGCGACGCTGCGGGCAGCGGGCGCGGCGCCGCCGCTGGGCGCGGGCCCCCGGCCAGCCAGTCGGTGGCCAGAGCGGGGGGTTTGGGCAGCGCGGAAGTCGCTGGCTTCGGCTGGGCGGAGTTTTTCCAGCTTTCTGGAAGTCTTCCTTCATTCTTGGGATGGTGGGTGGGTGGTGGGGGGGGGGATTTTGCATCATGGTCCGAAAGCCAAGGAGGCAGGAGAGTGCATCCAATTTCAGGTTGCTGCCTCGTTTCCTCACTGAGCTCTTCTCTGAGCATGAGGATGTGCAGGGGCCTCAGCACTCAGTTTTGCCATGGCTCAGCCCCTCTTGTCTATGACGCAACACTTTACGAAAACCAAATCCAAGGAACAGGAGCCAAAGGGCTCGAGTTCACAACTTTGGAAGTCAGAATCGCAAGAGGGTCGTGTTTGTGAAGCCCACAAAATATGCCATGCTCAACTGGCTTGACTTGCAGGGATGGTCATCAGTCCTGGCCCTGAATGATATATATATATATATATATATATAAGGGTCTCAGACCATGACCTCGCTCACCCGTCCTTCGTTTTCAAAGGGGATACTCTTCGCGAATGTCTTAAACTTCGATTTGATACTTTTTCAAGTGTCTCGTTTTGGGATGGTCTCTGAATAAAAGCAGCTCTCAAAAAGGGCGGTGTCCCGTTTCGCTTCCCTTTTTCACCAACCCCGAAAAGGGTAGCACTTGGGCCTCTGAGTCGGGCGGGTTAGGCCCCGGCCGACCTCCTGGCGCTGCAGCTGTGAGTTCTTCGAGGCCGGATGGGACATGAGGATGGAGAAAGAGAGTTTTCTTTTTCATCTTGTTTATTACTTTTCTATTTTTATTTGTTTTCTTTTCTTTTTTTTCTTCCGGTGGACCCCCCCCCCCAGTTTTCTTTTTTCATTTGGGTGCGTCCTTTTTTTTTGGTGGACCCCCCCCCCCCCCCGAAATGGTGGTTTTCCTGTTGGTTTCCCTTTCAATCCAACCAAACAGGGTACGCTCAAGAAAGCCAGGCTCATATGGGTGGGCTTTTCCTAAGTCCAGAAACCGCGCGGGACATGGTACCCGGCGAGAAAGGTGCATATTGAGTCAAGTAGACCGCGCAATTCAGGAGTTGACTTTTTGACTTTTCGGTTTGTTGTTCTTTTCGCCTGGAGTATCCAGGACTGAAGTCAAGTACATTTTCGGCACTTTTTGACTTTCAAGACTGTTCGACTTTTCAACTGTTCTTTTTCTTTTTCCGACTTTTTAACTCTGTTTAACTTTCGATTTCAGGATTATATTTTTTTTGCTTTGCGACTTTTCAACAACTTGTCGACTTGCCTTTGGTTTTCCGAAAGCATTGCGAAGGGTCCTTCCGGATAGATCGCTAGCGAACTTGTACGAGCACACTTGCACGAGCGCTCTCCCATGAGTACACTTGCACGAGCACTCTCGCATGGATACACTTGCACGAGCA